CGGATACATTAAATGTTTCATTTTTACTGTCTTATAAAAATGAAGGAATATATTTCTTACTTTCAATCAAATCAATAATACAATTAAAACCCTATTTCAATGAAATAATATATAATTGAAACAAGTATAGCGTTTGTAAAATATGGCTGTAAGGGGTTATAAAAGATGAGTTTTTCGATCTAAATTGAGTTGGACATTTGCAATAGATAAAGCGATAGTTCCCAGTTATAAAACGAACTTTATAGTTTTGTTTTTGACAGTTTTGACGGTTCTTGTCTACTTATTTCTTCCTTCGGTTGCATATAACTGAGGTGAAACTTTTAACTTCTTCGACGTATACTCCCTGATGACGTCACTTACTTATGGCATCCGTGAGATAGTGTTTAGTTTTAGTGCGCAATTCTTTTTCATTTCATAACTCCAAAATTTTAAATGAATTTTGAAATGCCTACTTACGAAGTCCTTCTGAATAGGTACCGAAATTATGTTGCTCCTGTTTCTGTCGCCGAGGTGTTTCTGCTATATTGTGGTTTGATGGATAAGAGGATCAAGAATTGATTGTGAGGTGTTTCGATCAGACCTCTGATATATTACACGAATCTGTGGATTTTGCTTGAAGTTTGTTGCATTTTGTTGGGTGAAATGTTAGCTCGTTTGTTACTCAAATATTATGAAGTTTACTCCAATATACTCTGGCGCATTGTTGGTACCTATGTCTAATTTTCTTAATTTGACTAAATTTTCTGTATAGCAGTGAATGTAAAAAAGTGAGGTAAAAATAATTTCACGAGTGTGTAAATGCACTTATAATATGACAAATGTCATCATATGCTAAATAAAACGTTTAAAAAAATTAGTGAAAATTTGTAAGGTTTAATATAGACTGTTACGTCATTTCTATGAAATACAATGAAATATCTTTATTTTTGACGTTAGTAAAAAAAATTAGTTTGTCAAATTTCTATTTGTAGTTTTCCATTGTAACTAATATATCATGTTTAATGTAAATGTTGTACATGATATAGACTATGTGGGAGTTGTGTAGGATGCATAATAATAATAGTGTCCTCCAGGCCGAATTTCGGTCATGGTGGCAAAACCTCAATGGAGACTGGTCATCGGCGCAGGACAGGATTATAGTGCCCAAGTGTATGCGCAAGCACACTCTCTATTTCATTAGACGGTAAACCGACACAACCGAAGAACCAACCAACGGCTTTACGTGCTTTCCGAGGCACGGGGGTGAGACACCGCCAACCTCCTGGATCCGGGCAGCTACTGAGAACTTCTTAATGGAAAAAATCAATAACTGATATTTTTTGGCCCGACCCGGGATTCAAACCCTTATGATCAGCAGTCGCACTACTACAACCGCTAGACCAATGAGGTAGAGAAATATATGAGCATTAAATATTGTATAAGTTAGAACATTAAGTATAGTTAGTATAAGTAGGATGTATAAAAGAATAAGTGTCCATAAAATGTACATTGCCCTAAAATAATAAGTACCTACTTATAATATAATTTTAGTAAAATATCTCCATTTAGAGATAGGGCCGCGTGATAATGTTCTCCTTCAGGAATCTGACGGGAGACACCTGAAAACAATAAACACGAAATTGCCACAATAATCGGCCCTCATGATCAGCACAACGAGTGCTAGACAATGGGGCAGATTACGCGATAGGGGTTTAACCGAATAGCAGCTAACTCGATTATTCGGCCATCCGTGATTGTGTTTCGGCCTATTAATATTTGAATTTCGTTATATTATTGCGGCGGGCGGACGCCAGCGGTAATCTAATATGCTTAATTTTGTTATTGACTTCGCTTTGATTAAAGTGTATGTTTTCTATATAAGTGGAGTGAAATAAGTACAGAATTATTAGAAAATAATCTTATCGGCTTAATGATATCCCTTTTCTATAAATTTGAAAATAAATTAAAAAAGTATTTATGTTAGACGCAATAAAAACCGTAATAGTAATAAGGTAGTGGTCTCAATTTCGTTAATAAAGAAAACGACGGGTTGCACTCCGGGAGTGCCGGTAGAAGTGAAAACTTGAATTTTTTTTGGGGTTCCTTTTTTTTTTTTTTTTTTTTTTGTGTTTTTATAAAAACCCAGGGGTTGTTCGTGCTTTGTCGCATCCTTGGCCAATATTCAGCAGTGGAGTTGTGAAGGTATACGTTTATTACTAAATGTGGTATATTGGTAGTCTCTGGCTTAAAGAATAGTCATTGTCACAAAAGAAGTCTTTTAGCCACGGTGCCACAGTCTTCGCCAAATTCGACATTAGCTGTCAATTGTCAATTGACGACTCCGTGGCGCAGTGGCTTAGCAATGAGTGGCTGCGCTGGGGGTCGCGGGTTCGAATCCCGCACGGAACAAGTATTTGTATGGCCTGCAAATAATTGTTCCGGGTCTGGACGTTTGTCCTTGTGCAATTTATGTTTGTAAACTGCCCCCACGATACAGGAGAAAATCCTTGTGTAACGTTAACGGTGTGTAGTGTTAACGGCTAACGTTTTAAAAAAAATCCATTTTTGTTTTTTGTTCGCATATTTTCCACTAGAAATCTTTATTGAAACATTCTTGTTTGAACTTGTACCCCTTTTATTAATAAGGTGGCAAAATCGGAAACTTTTTCCCCTGCTTACATCTCCCGTTTCGTTTTCCTCTGTAGCCACTTACGACAATTATTAATTTCTACAGATTGGTTATTCAAAAGTAAATTAAGGCCAACCTATGCATTTTCGAGTACGAGTTGGAAGAAAGTTCTCGAAATATGTCTGTACTGCAAATATCCCTTAAGAAGTAATACTGCAAATCCTATACCTTTAAACGAGCAATTCTTGTATATATATATATATATATATATATATATATATATATATATATATATATATATATATATAATCGCAACCTCGGAAACGGCTCCAACGATTTTCATAAAATTTAGTGTCAGGGAGTTTCGGGGGCAATAAATCGATCTAGCTAGGATTTATTTTTAGAAAATGTCCTTTTGTCCGTGTTTTCAGGCAATAAAAAACTGCTAAAATATAAGAAGGTAAATTTCAACAGATCACTAACGATCGTTATCGGGATGTGTCGGGCGTGATTCGTTTTCTTTCGCTTTTCCTTTTTTTTTCAAATTCCCTTCTTTTGTGAGAAAATCTATTATTTCAAGCCCTTTTTTAGTAATTTTTAAAAATACGAAAATTTTAATAAAACTAATTGCACTCATGATTTTTTATTCAAATAAACGGTTCAGTTTTTTCTATTCTGTCAATAAGATCAAAAAATTATTATTTAAGTTTCATCAGTATGTAATTTATAACAGTAAATATTTAAAAAAAAAAACCGAGCAAAGCTCGGTCATCCGGGTACTATCCCTTATCCCTTATGAAGTAATATCATGCGGCTTGCTTTCTGAAATAATAAAACAACTAAATACGATCAAAAATTATTTTTTAATTTTTACAATTTACAATGAATAATATTATAAATTATGTAAGTATGTAAAATATAGACTAACTTTTACTTAAATACAGTTTTAAGTAATAAATTTCACTTTCAGTTTTCAGCTGAAAAAAAATTACTAGCTATGTTGTGCATAATTTATATATTTAATTTATCGGAGGGATAATCAAGACCCTTAGAAATAAATGAGAATGTCCTTCAACTCTAGTTGCACACAGTCTCTCAAGTATAAGTGAGATAATCAAAGAACATTATGCACGATTAAAAAAAAAGTTGTGTCGCAATACTGCAGACGACGGTAGTGCTAGGGTGCGACAGAAATACGACGGGGCCCGCCGCGCCGCTCCACGCTGTCGCTGGATTAAAGAACAACTTAAAGGAAAGCAATCTGCTAAATAAGTGCAGCCTTTAAATCATACTAGAGAGTATGCTCTACCTTACTTTTAGAAGTAAGAACGGGTTAAGAAGCCTTGCAATATTTTCTTCAGAAAGTAGATATTCTCTTTTTAGCAAAACTATTTTAAAATAAAAATTTTAAAAAATATACGTAATAAGACGATAAGAGAGATTTTTTGCATTTTGCACAACCCTTCCTCTCCCACATACCTCAGAAGCCGATTTTCCTTTACCCATCCTCCGGACAAACCATGCAGATCCCTTGTTAAAACTCTTCTGACTTTCCCTGGTTTTACTCCCACTACTTTTCAGTTCACGCGGTAAGATTATGGAACTCACTACCGTCAAATATAAGAAATTCCGAAACTTTGTTGGTATTTAAGAAACGTCTTAGAGATAACTACTTTGCATCCTGTTAATTTATATATATTATTCTATTATATTAGTTTTAGTTTATATATATCATATGTAACTATCGTATTTATTATTATTATTATTTATTGATTTATTTTATTTTTATTTATTGTTTTATTTTATATAATTTACGCAACATTGTGTATATTATTTATTTTTTAGTAGTACTAATGTATGCACTAAGTTTGCAATTTCAATATAATTTCCTTTATGGGTCTACTGGAAGATATTTCAGCTAATTTGGAATAAGTAGAACCTTTGTACGAAATTACTATAAGACTGCTTCTGTATCTTAATGTGTGTACATAAAATAAATTAAAAAAAAGACCAATCATACATATTGAAAATATTCATCGAACGCTAATCCGTTTGTTTATTAAAAGAAATTGAGTATTAAATATATTATGTGTAGTGGCCGTGTAAGAATATCCACTAAGTCCTACATGTTTTTCTGTGGGTGTCGTCTACGGGATGACATGGAGTAAAAAGGCGATAGAGCTATTGCAAATATGGGTGATATTTACAATAGTTTTTATAACATGAAAAAATGGACAGAATTTTTACAGCAGTCTGGAATTGGACACTTGATATGCTGGAAAGGTGATATAAGAAAAAGTTACAACTTTGTATCTATCTATATCTACGATTTGAAATATATATATATATATATATATATATATATATATTCATTATCTTGTGGCAGAAAGCCATGGATACTACGCACTACACACTGGCAGATAACAAAAACAAAGTAGAAAAGTTTGGCCAGTCCGTAACTATAACAGTCGACAACGAAAATAACGTGAAGCCACATTTAAAAGTAATGGTAGTTGCTTGAATTATTTAGCTCCTCGTCTCGTTACTTTAGCCGGTGTTTCCGCAGGTGTGGCAATCATATTGTCTCACCCACACGGTGGGAGAGAGGGGAGGCGTTCTCAGATCTCCCTAGTCGCGCCGCTTATTCTTTAATCTCGCTGATGAATTATGATTAGCAGAGTGCACTCAATCCTATTAGTGTTGCCTGTTACAAAAATGCCTTGTAGGTTTGTTCTGTTCGTAATAGACCCTACTCAATAAGATCCTCTTTTTGAATCACACATAGGGGGACTTAACGATTTAGAAATGTAACTAGTTACTTAGCCTTGAGAGCTGCATATCTCGATTGGATTCTCTTTCATTCGGCTCATGGATTGAAATTAAATTTTTCTTTCAAACGATAAAATGTAACGGTTTTAATTACAGCATTACCTTACTGTAGTTTTTTAACGTTCAATAATTATAAGGCTTATTAGTAAATTTTATTAGTTTAATGAGAACCAAATTCTAATTTAATTTTAAGTATTAATTTAGAACGCCATAAAAGTTTTCTGAGCTGCTTGTATTCAAATTTACAATTGATTTCAGTTTATAAATCATATGAATAGTCTCCTGGGCGCAGCAGTGGACATAATGCACTACTGCACGTACTGAGACGGTTACGACATACTAAGCGGAAGGGATGTTTTTCTAAGAGTCTGTATTAGTGGGTATCACCCCTTACCAATTTTACCGACAAGCGGTATTGCGTGCACTGCTGTGTTCCAGCCTAAATGGTAAAAAGAACAAGTATAGTTACAGGTTGTGAGACATTCCATCTGAGTCCTCCGAGGCACCGGGACATCTGTAGCCATTTTGTTTAGAGTTGTTTGCCCATTTAGTTGCAGTAACCACTTACCATGAGGTGGACTGTTTGTTCGTTGGTCACTTCAATGTTATAAAACAAGGTTTCGAAGAATGAAAGCCGTTTGCCTTGATGGGATGGTGTATATGAGTGGTAAAGTTGGGGAGCGAAGACCCGATACGCTTGCACGTTTTCGGGTGGCTTTTGTGCTGAATCGAAATCGGAATATTAGAAACTGTGGAATGCGGAATGCATTTAGTTTTTATAGGACTATTTCATATACGTGGTAGAGCCATGCTGCAGTTATATTATAGTTGTAGTATGAATGAGTCGATTCGCTGCTGTGTTTCATATGGTGAGTGTAGAGAACCGGAGACCCTTTTTACTGGAAACGAGGCATTCCATCTTAGTCCTCACGGGTGACGACGTATCTGCATCTTGATTCGTAATCGAGGATAGATGTATATGTCTATGACCCACAGCAATTACTTTTTTAATTACAATTACGTTGACTGTGTGTTCGTTTGTTATCCTTTCCTATAAAAAAAATAAAATATAAAAGAAGACACATAATTGGTCGTTCCCCCTTTAAGTCTCCTATGAATAAGAGAATTTAATTAAAATTATTAACTAATTGATTGTGAAATAAGTAGTTTTATTTTTCTATTTTTGGATGTTTGGAATGCGACACCGATACAAGAGAAATTTAATTTAAAATTTCACAACCCTTGTAGGGAGGTATGCGTGTATTAAGGTAGATTTTCACTTTTATCATATCAAATAAAGCATATATATTGATATCTAATAAAACACAATAAAAAGGAGCGCATATTTAGAATTTATGGTACTTACTATGAATAGGAATGCAGTGTTTCGTTTTAACTTAACGGCCAGCGGAAATACATTCGAAATTCGAAATGTGCATTAACATTTTCCCGACAACAAAACAAAAACCTTTATGACCGACGCAGTGCCACGTAATAGCTCGCCGTGGGACCACAAACTCCGATTATCCAAACAGAGAGCTTCTGAAACAGCGTTGTGAAATTTTAACGTGTAATTGATTATGAAGTTGGCCACTAATGGGTGAAAATAGTTTCTAATTTGGAGTGCGGCGGCGAGTAATTGGTCTCGGTCCGCTTCTGTGTTAATCATTAACGTGGTGTGGGCTGTTGGACGTGCGGTCCCTCGCGGCCCGCGTGGAGCATCCTTCAATTTAGACTGCATAACGTGGACGTCCCCCAATGCACAATTCTCTGCCCAGAGGTCTGGAATTAGTCGGAAAGCGTTCATAGTTGGCGTCAATCAGTCGTCAATTATATTATATAGAGGCTTAGTGGGGAAAAAACAGGGAAGACTTTCACCAATTATTGGTGAAAGTCACAAACAATATTTAATAATTATTAGATATTTAAAAAAATGAGGACCAAGGTTTTCAGGCTATACAAATAAATCCTTATCCTATAAATCCTTTCCATATCATATTTATTTAAAAAAATAAAGAAAAATAATTTTGATACTTATCTAAAGTTCAATCGACGATTACAAAATCACAAATAGTGTGATGGAGATCAGCCCGATGAGATAAGCAGCTGATTTGTAGCTTTGAGTTTAAATTTAAGAATTTGATGTTTAAATGGCATACAGATATAGAATATGTATTTTAAAGAAGATTAAATTGGGGTATTTACCACTTGACTTTTGACAGGACTGAAAATGTAAAAAAAAACACTTTTCCACGCCATGGCCATATTTTTTTTAATCTGTGTAAAGATCACAAATAAAAATGAATAAAATATTAGCGACTACGTTCACAGATTTAACAGACTGCTGACAGCTTGACGACAGCGACGTGGAAATATTTTCGTATAGTTTTATCTTAGCCTCGATTGACGTTCATTAAATCCTGATTCGTGCGTATTGACATTTGAAAGTCCATGCTAATGGAAGGCGTGAGCTTTTTTGCGTCTAATCTGGCCCGTTGCATTCGCCACGGTTTGTTTTCAGAGTGCCGTGGCGTGTCTCTGTCACCGGTTGGCCAGTAATTATTCACGAAGGCTTCACGGGATTTACGTGGAAAAAGTCATCGGTATCGCGATCGTGCTCTACTCTATTACCCTTATCCAATATCCGAATAATTCGGATCGAAATATTTTCCGGTCAAAGCACTTTTTAGATTTTTGTTAATTTTTGAACGTAGGACTTTGTGGTTACGACATTATCAACAGTGAAGTCAACATTAAAGAGAAATATGATCTAAAGTATGCTAAATTTATACACTACATTACGTAGAGACACATATGCAGCTTGACACGACAGACCTCCTACCCCGTCTAGTTTGGATTTCTGTATTATATGTACGTATTACCATGTATTCATATTAAATTTATAACAATTTTAAACTACTTTGACTTTCACTCTTTCTAATTTTTGGGCAAGCAGTGACTATTTTCCCATAATTGATCTGTAGATTCGTAAAATTACAGCCTTGCAGAGCTAAAGACGGCAACATTGAATAAAAATGTGTTGAATTAAGTTTTTATTATTATTACACTGTTTTATTAAAATCATATGTATTTTAACAAAGAATTACTATAATACATACATAATAGAACGGGGGAGTGGGCGGAGCCCGTGTATCCACAAACATGTCACTGACATGTCAATTCACACCTATAAATGTCAACACAATCAATCGTTTTCAATATTCGTGACAAGCGTCGCTGCATGCAAATTATTTAAAAAATGGAAAATTGTGCAATAATTACGTGACGAAAGAACAGCGAGAAATGAAATTTAAATAAAGGAGACGTGTTCTACAACCAGTAAGTCGAAACTATATATTTTTTTAAATATTAGAAACAAAAATTAAAAAATATTGATGTGACAAAAACATTAATCAAAAGTCAAAAATGTGTAAATTCGCTCAGTTTTAATACAGCGAATCGGGTTTGTAGTAGTGATAATACGACGTAATTGCTTGTACATATGTGTGCTCCCGGCGACACCGATCCTCGTACAAAATAAGGTTGACAGCCATTCTATTGTGTATTCTAGTATTCTATGTATTTTAATATGTAACAGAACTTATGATCATAATAAGTAGCGATTGTATATCCAAACGTCTAACCAAATATCCAATTGAACTCTCCAAATCTCATTAGGCCTCAAGTTATTTTACACTTCGTCATTCATTGGTTGATTAGTTCCTGCTATAGAATAAACAAACAATCACTGACACAATTTGAAGCGCAGTGTGCATGCTTCCACCCAATATCCGTATCCTATTATTTATGGCTGCCCGATTGGGGCACTCTCAAAAACATACAAAACTGAACGACTCGAGCAATTTGTCACGGGGGTCACAATGCCTGGTATTGTTTCAGCCAGTTGGTTCTTAATGCTCGCTTTCATTGTAGCAGAAAACTAGCCCGTATACTGGTAAACATTTTTACGGCCGATGCATATTAGCGGGACTTGAATAAGACGTTATAATACATATTATAATTCTTGAAATTGCTATGTTTTGTAATTCCCTTTTTTCGATTTAATTCATAATAGTCTTAAATGCTTTGAGTCATATGTTTGTACTTGTACATTGGTATTAGTTTAATTATTTTATGACATTTTAAATTAAATTATAATTAGATGTGGAAATTTGAGTCAAAACTAGTTACGGCCTAATTACGTCCAACGACTAGCACTGGTCTCCTTTCATTTGTCTTGAACTTCTAACTCGGATTATGTAATTTAAAGTGGCACCTACTACAGCTCAAAGTACTAATATGGTTTTAATTTACTTGTCGAACCTGTTGTTGCCTGCTCCACATAAAATATCTTTCACTCATCATCAAACCTTACCTCCATACTAGGATTTTCTCATGTATCGTGGGAGCAGTTTACATACATAAAGGAGACAATTTCTTTTTGTATGTAGAATGGATCCACCACACATTATGGCGTAACTAAATTAAATGCATGTCGATTTATTCCTTATAGTCTGTAGGTTACAATAGTGATGTTAGTTTTGTCGCATCTAACGGGAATACTGAGAAATTAACAATAAAAATATGAATATCACAATAACCTAAAACGATTGTCTAGTATAATAATTATTAGTGTAAAAGAAAGTTTTAGGTAATTCAGCATTTATAGTATCTTCAGAAAAACATAGTTCACAGACAAACAAACGTGGTGTGGAAACTATTTTTATATGTATTGATAGATTAGTGAGTATTAATCCCAAACACCATTACCGTAGCTAAATATATATGTTTATAGCCAAGATAACTAAGGAACAATATGCCCGTTTATAATATTACTTATACACGTTATATGATGATGATGCTTTGTAAATATATAGTATACCTGCACTCAGAAGTTAATGACAAAATAGGGGTATAAGTTTCGTTCCACGGTCACTTTGATATATATGATATCAGCAATTAGAAAGAGGATTAAAAACAAGTTTTAGTGGTATCTCTTTTAAGTAATAAATATATAATATACAAATACATAATCAATGTATATAGTTTCATATGTGGTAGAGCCACGCTGCTGCTATATTGTGGTTGTAGCACGAATTAAATATATAATATACAAATACATAATCAATGTATATAATAAGTTTCATATGTGGTAGAGCCACGCTGCTGCTATATTGTGGTTGTAGCACGAATTAAATATATAATATACAAATACATAATCAATGTATATAACAAGTTTCATATGTGGTAGAGCCACGCTGCTGCTATATTGTGGTTGTAGCACGAATTAAATATATAATATACAAATACATAATCAATGTATATAATAAGTTTCATATGTGGTAGAGCCACGCTGCTGCTATATTGTGGTTGTAGCACGAATTAAATATATAATATACAAATACATAATCAATGTATATAATACGTTTCATATGTGGTAGAGCCACGCTGCTGCTATATTGTGGTTGTAGCACGAATTAAATATATAATATACAAATACATAATCAATGTATATAATAAGTTTCATATGTGGTAGAGCCACGCTGCTGCTATATTGTGGTTGTAGCACGAATTAAATATATAATATACAAATACATAATCAATGTATATAATAAGTTTCATATGTGGTAGAGCCACGCTGCTGCTATATTGTGGTTGTAGCACGAATGGGTCGACTCGACCGGAGAAGAGCCACGCTCTCTCAGTATACCAGCGTAAAATAGCAGCTTAATAATGCTATGTTTCATATAAGTGTAGAGATTCGGAGACCCTTTTTTTACTATTCCATCATAGTCCTCAGGGCATCTGCGTTTTGATGTAGATGTCTATGGGCTATGCTCGTTTGTTATTATTCTATAAAATGTTATCGTTTTGAGAAATATTTATCTTTTTATTATACAAACTGTAAAATGCTCCGTTACACGTATGTTTTTTTTTCACCATTAGCCAGAACACGAATATCAAAACAATTCTCTTTTTTTGAGATTTCATGATTCTGGTTAGATTTTCATAAAATGCTTAGACTGTTTACTATAATTAATTGGTATCTTTTTTATGTGTAATAACATAAAGTTACGTTAAAATTTCTAGTGGTCTCAAAAACGATTATCTCCTTTCCTCCTTTGTCCACAAGGACAAACATTCAGACCCGGAACAATTATTTGTAGGCAATACAAATACTTTTTCCTTGCGGGATTCGAACTCGCGGCCGTTAGCGCTGCAAGTCATTACTAAGCCAGTGCGCCAGGGAGCCGTCATTGAAAAATATTTGTATTTAAAGTGTTAATTAAGCGTAGCACGGCTCCGTGCTTGACTATAGCTTACTACGGGGCTGTTTTTTTCGTTAACGCGGTCTAAATAACAGTTTTTATTGTTATTTATTTGATATTTTAAGGTATATAATTTGTTATAGTTCGGAAACTTCGAATCGTGTTTCACGTTCTCATTAACCGGTTGACTAGTTGTGCTAATTTTTTCGTGAAATATCACAAGCGGTAAATTTCATGGTTCTGGATTTTATGCCGTAATAGGAGACGATCTTGTGAATTGTTGGATTGTAAACCGAATTTGATATAATTTACCGATAAAGAAATTATATTGGCGTTTAGAGCGAGCAAATTTTGTGTCTTTACGAATAATGTATGAAATTGTATAATTTTAACGCAAAAAACATCAAACATTTGTACTTTAATCGCGATCGTAGATTCGTCAAAATTAAGTAAGTGAACCTATATATTATGATTTTAATTTAATACGAAACTTAAATTTCATATTGTAATAAAATCTATCAAAATGGAATTGTACAGAGTGAAACTCAAATTAAGTATTCAGTAATGACAACTACCATAATAAAATAAGAAATTTCATCGAATAGTACTCATTTTTTAAAAATTACCATGGAGGATAACATTTTATTACCATTCTATAAACTATTAACATTCTATGAACTTCTCCTATGCTTTGAAAGCGTTTTAATAATTTGAACATGAATAATTACTTACCTGAAATAACTATGTGTATGCCAAACAAAAATAATAATACCCACAGAACGTAGCATCATGTATGGTTATTGTGCTACCACGTCCGCAAAAGTTTAATTAAAATTTACAATAATGTTATAGTAATCCGATATATTATGCCTTTATATTTTTTTGATATACTCTGGGAATTTATTTTATATCGTGGAGGTCGTTTACATACATAAATTGCACAAAGAGGAACATATACATAAACAACAAAATAAACATAAATATATACATAGAACCGGAACAATTGTTTGCCGGGCAAACAAATAAGTACATTTTGAACCGTGCGGGATTCGAACCTGCGGCGCTTAGCCCTGCAGTTTAATGCTAATCCACTGCGCTACGGAATTGTCTACAGTAGAAAAGTTATTTTGTAGGATGTCTATTTTACCATAGATGCAAAATAAACTTTATAAACGAACTGTTTTATCCTACAATAATATCGAGAATTAAATATTGGGGGCTTTACTCTTAAAAATCGACTCCAATTTAAGAAACGAAAGAAGTCTCCAGTGCGATGCCTAATGCGTGTTGACGGACTTCACGTGTATTCGAAAGTTTTTTTAAGTTTTTTAGACTTGCAGGTTTCCTCACGATGTTTTCTTCCACCGCCAAGTACGAGGTAAATCAATACCTAAAATTACAATTAACAGTTTTATTGGTACCGGCTGGGATCGAACTCGAATTGCTCGCGTTCTGTGAAATATACAACGAGCGCTTAACCACTCAGCTACCACGGCTAACGTAATCGTAACTAAGCGGTAATCAACGATTATAATAACAGCCGTTTTTGTTTTTAAATGACTTTATAACAATATGTTGTGATTGTCCATAGTGCGAGCGAAGGACGCCGCAGCAGTCAAGCGGCAGTCCGGGGCTGGGCACGCACATGCTAGCCATGGACGTGACCAAGGAGTCCCGAGCTTCTCCGCTGCCGGCGAGCTCGCAGGCTTCCGGTACAACATCCTCGCAACAACCGCCGCAGCCACAGGTTGAGCTCTTATTATGATATTCTTTTTTCTCCTACACATAGTATGAAAAAAATTGTAATTTCTATAACTTTATATAATAATAAATCGTATTTTTTTATGATTTTGTTGACTCTATTTTCACTTGTGGTTACATCTAAGACGTACTGGTAAATTCGTGTTGAACTGACACACTAAGTATTGTACATTTTCAAGTTACATTTAATTTGTATCGATGGGGAAAAAAGTTTGTCAAGTGTCAGCCATGTACCGGTAGACGAAGTGTAGGACATTCCCCAATAGATAAAATGACCACCTGGTAAGGACATGTAGGAAGTCGACGGATGCAGGTAGCTAAGGATCGTGCTTTGTGGAATTCCTTGGGGTAGGCCCATGTACAGCAGTGGATTTGTGATGGGCTGTAATGATGATAATGATGATGATGATGTACATTTTCAATTTTAAAGTCTAAAAAAGTTTTTCTATATTTACTTAGGAAATGATTACACAATAAAAGCTCACAGTAAACCTGATGGTAAGTGGTTGCTGTGGCCCATAGATAACTACATGTATCCTCCATTACGAATCAAAATGCAGATGCGTTATCACTCGTGAGGACTAAGATGGAATGCCTCGTTTCCGGCAAAAAATGGGTCTCCGGTTCTCTACACTTACCATACGAAACACAGCAGCATTAAGCTACTACTTGACGCTGGTATTCTGTAAGAGCGTGGTCCTTTCCCGGTCGAGCCGACCCATTCGTGCTACAACTATACTACTAATATAACTGTAGCATGGCTCTACCACGTATAAAAGATAGAGAATATAAAAGATTGAAGTAGTACACGGATATTTTAAAAATCAAAAAATTATTTAATGAAAATTTCCTTCGTGCAAAAACCATCGGTTGGGCAAGCCGAATAGATCAACCATATAACTGTCACTGTGTAACTTCATCCATACAGGACTTTATATAGACTTACTATAGTCAACCAAATCTAAGAAGTACGTTTTGACAGCTGTCAGACTTATTGCACCAAGCATGCCAACCAAAATATGGGAACGTACAATATTCGATTCTTAAAAAAATCGATATCGATAATTTAGAGTTGGTAATCATTTACCGTTTGGTTTGAATAATACCAGAATAAATTAAAAATGGATAATTTAAAACACAAGATTTATCAGTTTCTTCGTATTTTTTGTTACTGCGTATTTCTATAGGCACAGTTATAAAAATTTAAGAATGAAACTATATTAAAAATAAATTTGTTCAATCACTTTCAATACAACTAGTACAGATGTCGTTGTTTATATTAATTATTATTTGATTTTCAACAACGCAGTCAAACTCTACTAACTCTACGGCGGCCGACCGCTAAGCTTACATACGCATAAGTCTACATTACCTGAAGATGCCTCGTGTAGAGGCGAAACACGTGTTGTATTATCGTCGATGGTGTGTCTTGCCTGGAATAGTGGTGTTGGGAGTAGTGGTGCTGGGATTAGTGGTGACGGAGTTAGTGCATGCAATTGAGGGAGGGCGGGAGGTGCTCTTCAATTCAGGTAAGACACATCATTGTATTTGTTTGGCGGAAGGTTGCGAAGAAATTTATACTTTTATTTTTTATTAAACTTGTTTTATTCATGATTTATGTAATTTAAGGGTTTTGGATATAAAAATTAAATTAAACAAATAATACATAAAAAAATTAATGATTCGATTATTTGAAAATTTTTACCGATTATTTGAATATTTTGCCGATCATTCGCATAACAATGAATTTTGATCATTCAAACACTACGGTAATATACATAGCGACATATCATTGAAACGACATCAAGTAAAAAAAGTTAATAATGGTTATTTTTTAATATCTTGCTTTGTTTGAAAAAATCAAATTTAAATTAGTTATAAGAAACCATAAACAATGTAATGAAATACAGATAACTTCATAATTCTTCGGATTTAAGTAAAAGGTTATTTTAAATCGTGTGAGTACGGTTGTGCAAAGTTATTGCAGAATGATTAATGTGAAACGTCAAAAGGTATTTCTTACATTTGGTTGACTATAAAAGATTGCAAGTATAAACAAAGTGTGTTGTTAATTTCTAACAGATATGTGCGGGGTGTAGTAAGGTGATCACCGAGCGTTACCTACTCAAGGCTTTAGATCAGTTATGGCACGAGGACTGCCTCAAGTGCGGCTGCTGTGACTGCCGCTTGGGTGAGGTCGGCCATACGTTGTATACGCGCGCCAACCTTATTCTGTGCAAGAGGGACTATTTGAGGTGAGACATCACATATTTGAATTAAATCTAGATTTTTTTAACGGATATTTTTCCAAATCTTTAGGGAAACGTAAGAACTAGATATCATTTTTGCATAATTATCATAAAGTTGTATTATTTATTGAAGGGCATAGTACCCTTCCTATAGACTGTACTATAGAAGAACCCTTCATATTTGGATAGACCAGTTTTGCAATGTGAGTTTCGTCTGTTATCGAGTATGGGTTTGGTTGTTTTTCGTACGTCAAAGCATGGCGTTGTAATACGGTGCGAGTATTTTCAAAGACGCGAAATCTGGCAGGTAGGCAAGATGATGGAATATTAAACGCTTTGTATCTTAGCAACGTTACTGGCTTGGATGTTTTGAAAGATCTCGTGGCGATCAATTGTGTTGAGTGCCGACATCTTATGAAGACCACGAAATGTTCCTAGCATTAAAGTGGCCATTAAAACTTGTTTAATGCTATGGTCGTCAGCCGTAGATTGCTTCGTAAGGGGGCTATTGCTACAGTTGCCACGCTTCGCAAGAGGGTTTGCAACCGCAGTTTTTTATTTTAGTCGTTATAAGGTTAAGCTGCTGTCCATCTCCTGATTTGTTTGCCTCTATCACCTCTTACTTCTACCCGTAGAAGGATTCTTCTGAGTTTGAGTTCATGCCTTAATACGTATTGTATTATTTTGTACGACAAATATTAAAATAAACTTTTCCTATGTCAGGCTGTTTGGTAACACTGGCTATTGTGCGGCGTGCAACAAAGTGATCCCCGCCTTCGAGATGGTGATGCGCGCCCGAAGCAACGTGTATCACTTGGAATGCTTCGCCTGCCAGCAGTGCAACCACAGGTTTGTATTACAAAAAAATATCTTATATACGTAGTACGTAGTAGCTCAATAGTTAAAAGCCTGCCTTATTTAAAAAAAGTTAAAGTTACAGCCTATATACGTCTCACAGCTAAGCACAGGTCTCTTCTCATTTCTGAGGCGGTGTACCGCCGTGAAGTCGCGGCATAAGATACTACTCTCACAGAATCTCACAGAATACCGGCTTCAAATAGTAGCTTAATAATGCTGCTGTGTTTCGTATGGTGAGTATATAGAACCGGAGACCCTTTTTACTGGAAATGAGGCATTCCATCGAAGTCCTCACGGGTGAGAATGCACCTGCATTTTGATTCGTAATCGAGGATGGATGTAGATGTCTATAAGCCACAGAAACCACTTACCATCAGGTGGACTGTGTGATCGTTTGTCACCCTATCCTATAAAAAAAAAGATAATACCCCATATTTTTCTAACGCAAACCGCCATCATATAGCGAAGTTACAGAGGATGAAAATTGCTTATAAATACTTCATCATCATCATCATTAATGCATCTTCTCCCACACATATCTACTATTGAACATAGACCATCACCAAGAAATGTTTCAGAATACGGTCCTGAGTAATATATCGACTTCTTGATGTTTTTACTAGGTCGGCTCACTATCTAGTGGGGAGTCGTCATACACTCTTTAAAAAAATAGACACTTTAAATTTTAAAAGAATTCAAACACATTAACGCACAGGTTTCGCTTAATTTTTTCACCTGTCACAAGCGAATGCGTCCGTGAAAATTGAATGGGGACCTTGCTATATCGAATACAAGTCCGTTGAGGAACTTTTCTTCTACGAGCGGGATAAAATATTGAAGGGAAGGTTAAGAGTGAAAGAGACAACTGTATTCCGCGATAAGGGTTTATATGGCTTATTCCACGCACGGACGACAAACAAAGAGTGCGATTAAATTTTCCGCTACATAAGGCGCCCGCATGCATGGAATGTGTTTATTATTATTTTGAAGATATAGTAACTTAGGCTTTACTGGATTATCATATTCACCTATGCTAACGTGCACGTTAACAACGTAACGTGACGCAACTAAACAGTTTATTACTTATTTCATTTTTAGTGTTGATTTACCTTAATTTAAAAAAAATACTTTTTAGGGTAATTCGCAAGATTTGAAGAAGCCGACACGGTTTCTAATTCATATTGAGGTTGGTTGCCGACTTCATTGCCTCTTTAAAAATGACGAGACTGTTGTCCTACATTGAAATCTTTACAGGATTTAACATATTTTTAATTACAGCTTAAAGAAAATTAATATAAAACAGAAAAGACTCTTATTTTGTATAATATTAGTAGGATTTTCTCCTGTATTGTGGAGGTGGTTTACATACATAAATTGTACAAGAACACACATCCGGACCCGGATCAATTATTTATATTATTATTCATACAAACACTTCTTCCGTGCGGGATTTGAGCTCGCGACCCTATAACGCCGCGACCAATAGATTATCCACTGTGCAATATGTCAATGTGAATTTACAAACACTCAATACCTAATACAACTTTGTAAGCACCGTATACTATTTTTGTAAGCTATTCATGCTACAACAAAAATCTTTAATGCTATGTTGAACAAAGAGATAGCATCATCTTATATTTATAAAATAAACAGTGTTATGCTAATATATTGTACTAATTAAAACGACTTTATCGATCAGTTGTTTATATCACCGTTTCTATTTTTTTTTAATTAAAGCAAGGAATTATAACATGTTTGGCTACACGCTATAGACTTGGGCTCAATCGTCACCGGACTTGGTTCTCTTAAATAATAGAGAAGTCGCGAAGATTGGAGTCGCTCTGAATGGTTTATACGTCACTTGTGGACCTTTCTAGTGTTGGCACCACTCGCATAACACTTTTACCCAATTGTATATTCATTTGAGTGCTCCTTGAGTACAGATTGTTGTGTTGGATTTCTTTTTACGAAACGTTTAACGTGATATGGGCGAAAATTCTCTAGAATATTCTATGATAGAGAAACAAAATTTGAATTGTGTTTAAAGCGATTAGTAACATTTAAAGATCTTTAACGTAAATTGAAAGGAAAAGGTTATTTCAGGCGTAACAGTAGATATATAATTATTAACAACAGGTTGTGAGGTATTTCATCTTAGTTTTGGGTGACAGCGCTTCTAAGGCTTTCTTTGTTTGGAGTTCGTAGCAGGTGTCAATTGGCATCAGTAGCCTATTTATCATTTCTTGTATATTATACGTTGCAATATTTTTAATAAAATAACTTTATATTATGCGAGGGGGAAAGCTTTATCTTTATATTGAATTTCATATAACTTAATATAAAACGTGTTTGACTTAGATTATTGTTAATGGAGTAGTTGACACTCATGGCTATTAACATTCTTTTTACGAGCTATCGACAGAAAATGTCCTATAGAAATTATGTGGGGATATCTTTAAATGTCGTCAGTTCCTTTTAGCCAAATAAACATCTTATTTGTTATGAAATGAAATGTAAAAAATGTCAAATGTTAACTCATATTTGTATTTTAATTATATATAATAATACAGACATCCTTGTAATTAAATTTATAATTAAAAAAAGATTGTATATATTATGTTATATGTGTGTATAGTTTAAAGCTTTAAAGGTATTATTAGACATGGCGAGTTAAACCACCTGAGAAATTTTCTTCACTAGTTAGAGAATCCCCTCATTAATATCTCTAACTAATTCTGGTAATTAGTTTTGAGTATTTGTAAAACCTTTCTTGGTTTTTATCACGTGTTTGTAAAATTAATTTAAAAATGGTTTTTTCACTGTACAAACATGTACAACAATAGTGCGCACTTTATTAGGCTAGAGACATCTAGCGTGGAGTGGCGAAACCATACAATACTATTTTTTAATTAATTAATAAATAAAACATTTAAACAGTATAATCAAGTTAAACTTAAAACAGCAAACCGATCAAATATGTTATAAGCCATATCATTTAGAAATGTGGCATGTGTAGCATATGCGAATTATATGATGTAGAAATTTATTAGTAATAGTGTCGGCTACTAAATTATATTTTACTAAATCAACTAACAAGGTCTAAAACAATAAAGCGCTGAAACGATTAAATATCACGTACAAATCAATTTCGTAGTGGGCAGAAATCTGAATCCAATTTGCGGGCTGTCGGATCGAGGCGGCGGGCGGCTGGTATCAGAGGCGAATATCGCTAAACGGCTAAATAATTTAGTAGCAATCTGGCGGGTGGTCCGCGGACGCAAACCGACGGAAGTGGAGATCACACGCTGTCTGATGTTTGTTACACATCTCACGCCAACTTGTCCAAATCTGTCTAGTTTAAAGACACGTTACGTAAATAAATTTTAAACGTCGTATGTGTGATTTAGCTGTTGTTCTAGCAGCAAAGTAAAATATTACTATAATCGTTTTTATTGTTCTCTTGCAATTCTGTCCATCCATAGTTTGTCCGGAAGAAATCGCTTCCAGCGATAAGACCGCCCATTGTATCACATTTATATTTGCTCCTTTTCTTTTGTACATATTTAAATATTTTTGGCGTACAATAAAGTGTTATATATCTATATATAACCGGTTCCTTACCAATCAAGAATTATATTATGCAGTGAAGATCGACTTTTGTGAATCAGAGGCGAGCAACTGTCTGCAATTCCACCGCAGAACTCGTAATAGGCGAAGACGCTGAATCTTTATGGTTAATATCCATAGAAATCATAATAATAAGACAATAGAAAGGAATTAGCGCTCGATTACTTCCAAAACCGATGTCGCCACATCTTACCGTATTATAAAACATACGCAATGCAAAATGATATCTATTGTTTCACATTACATTGCTTGGCGAGATTGTCAACGTTGCGTGTGTCGCGTATTACGGTAGAACAAAAGCAGCAATGGTAATTGTACAATACGAAAAGCAATAAATGAGTTTACAAAGGTAAATATCATAGCATATATAGTATCTAGATGTAAATTAGTTAAAACAATGATAAGTAGTAAATAATCAACTTACTGATGAAATGTTATGTTTAATTACACGTCCTTGATGAGTTTTTATAACTGATTATGCTGCAGTGCACCATTATAAATTTATAATAAGAAAAATTCACGTACGACGTTGCCCGCACAACTGAATCACAAAATGGTGAATTATGTTCGTCAACCCATATAAGCGGCGACAAGGTCACGCATCTATTGTCTTTGCCAAATTTGACTATTTTGTCGATAAAAATTTGAAAAGAATGGGATTCAATATATAGTAGAAATGTATAAAAATATCATTTCCCTTCTCCAAAAAATGTTCTGGATCTAAATCTCTGTAATTCAGTAAATATGCATACATGTTTATATTTACAATATTTTACTATATTCTGAATAGTTAGCAGAGTTGAATAAATTGAGAGCATTTAAGTTGATGACTACGGTATGAAATATTCTTATCTTAGGGCGCGATTTCATTAAAAGTGTAGCTTGTAGCTGATTCTCTGCCTGAGGCAGATTGCTGAACTATTAAATGTAGCCGCAAAGTACTTTACCAAGTATGACCGTACTATGAGTAAATGGATTTGGATGCCAACTCAGACAAATAGTCAGTTGCAAACTATACACCGCCTATGAAAAAATTAATAGGCTTTTGTTAAGTTGAACCTCTTTACTATTAAATACTGATTTAATAATAATCGGTCAGAAAAAAACATCAGATCATGGCTTAAATTTCTCACTGAGATAATAATGGAATGGGAAGAGTCCATCAAGATGCTTCTCTCTTTGATCTTTAAAAAATATTATTGTAATTTTCTTCAAGTTATAGAGTTATTAAATTGAAAAATAATAACTTGTTAAATTATATATATTAATAGTATTAAAGTAAGTTTTTCAGAGATATGTTACGATAACTTTTATAGCCTTTATTATTTTCTACCAGATTTGTACAGGTATCGGTTTTACTTTTTACGAAGAGCTTGTAATCATTTCGTTTAATTTTTTGAAAAGCAGTCAATAGACACGTCCGCTTCCGTAAAACGTCGAACTTCGCGTCGACAGCGTCACGATACAATGGCCGGACGCACAAAGCTTAACTTGCACCCAGTCATTAAAATTTTGTTCTACATCTTTTCCATTACGCGACTGCAGACAAAAAAAAGCAAAATAAAAAAGGACAAATCCCCGAAAAACAAAAGTTGGGGACGGGGAGAACAGGAAATAAAGTTAATTAAGAGCGGCGAAATCGACTGAGTTGCGGTGGAAATTGGCTCTTTAAAAAAGAGACATTTGTAGCCGAGCTATTGCGCTTAATTTTTGTGACAAGTGAAACAAAAGAGTTGGCAGGGTGGCCGGAGACGCGGTGGGAAGACGTGGGGAGGGCGGGGGAAGAAGGGGGAGATAAGGCTGGTTGGTGTTATCACCGGCGGTTCCGGCGGCCAGTGGCGAGTCGAAGGCGATACCTTTTGTTTTGCCACATTGAGGGATGCGCGCTCGCGTGACGTTATCGCTACTTCTTGCCCACGCTGACCTTTCCACTCGTGATAGTAAATTTTATTTCTCAGACATTTCTGGCTCCTTTCCGGCCTATTTTTTACTTCAGCCGTGATCGTATATAAATATATTTTCTATTCAAAGAAAATACGCTTAATATGCAACGTGGCGTTAACTAGATTTACGTGGAAGCCTTAACAATGAATAGGTATAGGTTGCAACTTTAGCTGCGCTGTCCGTGGAAAAACACTAATTGGATCTACCTGCACCCTGTTTACTATAACTGCATCTGACTTGGATAGGGAAATCACATAATTAGTTTACGGATATTCTCACATGCTTAATATATTTTAAGTTATTTGGAATAGGTATTTTATAATTAAGAGTATAAAAGTAAAGTAATTAACCGGTATTTTTTATTTTATACTTTTAACAATTTTTGTTTGCCTAGAGAACAGAATACGGTGAAAGTTGTATCAATATACGCAAGTTGGCTTTTAATTGTATCTTGCAAGTCTCACTGTCCGTCTCAAAGAGAATACAATCAATACGTTTAGTCCGTTTAGTGAAGTTATCGTTTTGTCTATGTCAGTGTTAGCTGTCAGATTTGAAGGAAATTTTAAGTCAATTAGTTTTCCGCTTTTATCATAATATATTTTGTTCACAACAGCTGCGGATGATTCAATGTTTGGCGAATCATAACAGTAACATAACAAATAGTTCTAACACCAGTAGTCTAGTTCGTACACCGAGTACTGTCTTTTAGCTATCGCAATTTACTAACTTTATTCGTGTTATTTATTTCTTATAAATATTTATTTGACGACCACTGAATTATAGCTTTGCAAACAATACGGTTACTCCAAGTTTTTAAGATGTAAGTATTGTGGTTGTCATTTTGTTTCCGGCATTGCATTTGATCTTTATTCTAAACGTCAGAACTTAAGGTGGTGGTAAGAGTGAGAGGCATTAAGACTCTGTTATTTTGTAAATACACTTAGGAATCTATAGTATATCATTAATAATGTATTATTGAATGAATTAATCGATTTACTCTCTCTCCATAATAGGTAATCTTAGTGCTATGGAATGGAGAAGTGCTAGACAGGTACCTAATTTGTGAGAGACTAGTGCCTGATAGAGCTATAAAAATCTATTACAGCTAAATAAATTGAAAGTTCTTGAAATCAGATGGTCATATATAAATTAGAAAGAGGAAGGATTATGATGTTTTATCTGCGTTTACATGCTGTAAGATTTCTAACATTTCTCTCAGGATTTACGAATCAGACAGGAATCTTCTTGTCTGAAAATGTAATTTTATACTACTTCTTTGTTCTCAGATTCTGCGTGGGTGATCGCTTCTATCTCTGTGAAAATAAGATTCTCTGCGAATATGACTATGAGGAACGGTTGGTTTTCGCGAACATGGCGTACAACCCACCACCACTTGCCCATTTAAAGAGACAGACAACTCATCTTTCTCCGCCTCCGGTAAATATATCTAATATACTACTTAGTTGGAGGATGTAACCCAATTAAATCAAAAAAGCCATAGAAATAAAAACGAAACAAAGAAAAGCAAAAAATGTATACAATTTTTTTTTAAACTAAAACCTATAAAAGGTTACATACATACGTGAGAAAAAAATTCTGAATCATCCTTTAATTTTATTGTTATTGAAGTCCTGTTGTTTTGTAGTCATTTATATCTAGAATGCAAAACATACAATGCGTAAATGGTACGAGTATGTCAAATATACTCGTTCTTCAAGCTGTAGTTCTCCCCAATATCCTAAACTTTATTACGTCAAGATTTAGTGGGGAATTGGTAACAATTATTGACTCAAGCAAATAATGGATGACTTAATAATACTTTTTACATAGCCATTTTTGGAAGGATTCTGCAGGAAGGAGCTGGAATTCGATCACTGAAACTTTGTATGTGAATTGTTTGTGAATTATTAATTCCCACCTTTTTTTCTCATTAATTGTCACCAGTTCCTCACAAAATCTTTACATAATCAAATTTAGAATATTGTTGGAGAGGATTTCAGCTTGAAGAACGCAAACATAAATACAATGTTTTACTGTAGACTTATAAAATTGCCGGTACATTTAAAAAAAAACTACTACTATTGAAGTACAGGTAAGATGCGAGCACAAAGTTCACCTAATCGTAAGTTAACGCTGTAGCCCAGAGACACCAACATCTATTCAGTCCATTTGACAAGTAAAGAAAGTCTACAGTTTTTGTCACTCGCAATACGAAACAGCATAAATATACTGTAATTGCCAATATTCCGTATAAACTGATATACGAAATATTGGCGCAAAATACTTACCGAGTCCGAAGTACTTCCTTCTTTGTGAAGTACGTTGTTTGAGTCAACAAGATTGAATCTTTCCTGCTACAGAATCCATTTAGCCAATGAGGGAAAGCTTGTGCCCGGTCGTTGGTACTACTTACTACTGATGTTTTACTTTATTTACTTTAATAAAATAAACATTTTTCTTTTAACAGACGAGCAACGCGATGAACCTGATGAACGGTTCAAGCCGCTCAGGGGATCTAAATAACAACATGTCTGGCTCATCTCCAGCAGCTTTCGTCCCTCCCCCGCACCTAAAACCATTAGGTCTTTCGGCGACCAGTTGAGATTATCGCATGTGAGATACGGCCCACCCATACGCCAAGTATCAAAACTAAAATATCGCTCTATACTCTTCAATGATTCACGTAAATGTACGTTGGACAAGAGTCGGTTAAATTAAAAGGACTAATTGTCGATCAACATTTTTTCAAAAAGTGATCAACAGAAGTGTATGTGTTGAACTGCCGTATTATGGACTATGTATTGTATAAAATATGTCAAAGCTTCTATAGCTAACGATCTAAACTAAAAGAAACTGCTTTAAAAGTAAAATAAAATACTTTTTCAATTCCATTTGAAGTTGATCTCAGAAGAGCAATGCTAAATAAAGATATTACTAACGAGTGTATGAAGATCGTAAAACCGGTTGTATATATAATCGGATAAGAAAACGCGGGTTTCAAGACTGCCGATCATTGTATTCTAGTGCTAAAATATTGATGTTTGTGTAAATATTATAATTATGAAATTTTATTTAGTTTCTATGTTAAGGAACTCAGTTATGTATTAGCGAATTAAAAGAAGAAAATCGATCAAATATATTATTTTACAACTCTATGTTCAGAAATATGTTTGGCATAGCCATAGTTTTATTTCTCGATTATATTTCGCTTTGTTGTTTCTTTTTGTATATTGTAAATTACTGTTAAGTTTATCTGTAAACATTGTTGTAATTTTTGTATTATTTATGTAAATAAAAGAATTAACTTAAGTAGGTAGTTTATTGTATCTAATGATTAAATAAACAATGGTAAATATAAATATTTGAACTTAGCAAAATATGAAAATACGTGTTTATTAAAATGAAAAATTACATAATTTGAAATAGTTCAAATTAGTTTTTTTTAGAGATATTTCAAATGAATCTTTGTATTGACTATGGATAATCTTTAATTCCGCATTTAATTAGATATATTATGCATTCCTAATTTAATTAAGGAACGTTGCTCTTGCGGACGGACAACACATTTGTGTGTAATGTCAAATAAATGTGTCTGGTTCCATTTTAAACCAATGATTTGACCAAAGATGTAGCTCATTAAAACTTGTTCAATTTATATATCTTTTTATTTCTATAAATCCTATTTAAAATTCCTTTCATATTCCATCTTGTCGCCATAGCAGTTATCGACTGCCTCGTTCGTCTAGTGGTTGTAGTAGTGTGACTGCTGATCGTGAAGTCCTAAGTTCGAATCCCCGGTTGGGCCAAAAATTCAATTATTGAATTTTTCCGTCAAGAAATTCTCAGTAGTCTCAACCCCGCACCTCAGAAAGCACGTGAAGCCGTTGGTCCTGCACCTGATCGCCCTCCGGTCGTGTCGGTTTACCGTCCCTTTGGACTATGAGAGTGAGGAAATAGAGAGTACACTTGAGCTTGCGTATACACTTCGACACTATAGTCCTGTCCTGCGCCGATTTCTAGTCTCCGTTGAGACTGGCCGACGTGACCGAAATTTGGTCTGGAGGACATTATTATTATTATTATCGACATAAAACAAACGAACCGAAATTCGATGTGTACAACTAGTAATCAGTGAGGAGTCAAGTTGCGTACTTTCAACAGAAATCAAATCTGCTAAACGGTGCATTAAGTAATAATAATTAGTATTCTAATTGATTTGCCCGATATAATTTAAATGTTAATTTTGTATACTAGAATGACTCTTGACAAAATCAATACTTCCATTAAACAAAAGTTAAAGATACAGCCTATATACGTCCCATTGCTGGGCAAAGACCTCCTCTGATTTCTGAGATGGTTTTAGGGCTAGGAAATGTCCGCCGCGCTGCCCCAATGCGTGCTAGCGGAACTTCACATGTCTACGAAAAATATGTTTTTTTTTAAATATTTCTCAGACATGCTGGTTTCCTCACGATGTTTATCTTCAACGCCGAGGTAAATTAGAACTTAAAATTGAAATTAACAATTTCATTGGCACCGGCGGGGATCAAACCAAGGGTGCTCGCGTACTGTGTAATTTACATCGTGTTCTTAACTCTTGAGCTACGGCTATTAAGCAAGTGGAGACTCAAATTCTAGGGTGGTAATAAGAGGAGTGAATTGTAATTTGAACCAATGGCTTTGACCCTTAACTAGGCTACTGCTACTTCTCAAAAAAAAATAGAAATAAGTGAAAATAAATTTGCTACATTTGATGACAAATAATGGAACGCTTCAAATCTATTTTTTTTTTCAAAAAACAATGCGAAAGTTTCTTTACATTTTAACCGGTGGTAAGAAATCTAAGTGTGCGTTCTGCTCGGGGAGCGGTCAACACAACGCTCCGATATTTTTTTTTTAAAGTGTAGATATGCAGCTGTTGGCCCTGCGGCCTTTACAGCTTCATCGAAGTAGGCTCATGAGTGAAGGAGACCCAATAGCTGTTGAGTGCAACGGATCCTACCGTCGGCGAGCGCATCGCCAACTACAGTCCCAAGGTACCCCGCGACTTCTGCTTTTTGAGTGAGACTCGTAAGAGTGAGGTACGAAACCTCGGCCTGAACCACTATCGTAATGAGGGGAACGGGTCGTTCGTATATATATATATACGACTAAGATGGAATGTCGCCTGTAATTATACTGGCTCTCAATACCTTTAAGTCCGGAACATAACAGCGCAGGAACTACTATTTGGTGGCAGAAATAGGCAAGAGGATGGTACCCACCGAGACGGAGAAGAGAGGCAGAAACGTCCTAGTAAGAGTACTCTAGATTATTCATATTATTCTAAAGTATTCAAGAGTAAAATATGTCTGCGGTTTGTGAACATATTTAAGTTTACCTCCAACATGGTATCAGGTTTGATAGATCACAAATTCTCGCAAAAAAAGAAACATCGATTTCTAACGACGATGATTCGTGAGGTTATTGAAATAGAAAAGCATCCTAATCTAAATAGAGAACATCTCTGTTTGCTCGCTTGGGATCCCATAATTATTAAAATAGTTTCACCGCATGTATCCAACATAGTCCAATATATACGTCTCACTGCTAGGCACAGGCCCTTTTATTTCTGAGAGGGTTTTAGGGTAAAGAAATGTCTGCCGCGCTCTAGCAATGCGTGTTGGGGAATTTCCCATGTTTTTTGAAATCTTTTTTTTCTTATTTCACAGAGATGCCAGACTTCTCACGATGTTATAGTTACTTCACCGCCGAGCACATGGTAAGAGTAAATCAACACTTAAAATTGCAATTAACAATTTCATTCGCGCCGGCGGCGACCGAACCCGAGTTGCTTACGTACTGTGAAATTCACACGAAGTGCTTAGTTCCTGATCTACCATGGCTCTTATTCAAGAGTATTCTAATCAAAATAATTTTGTTAATTATTTTGATTAAAATACTCTTGAATGTTGTGGTGGGTGCCGTGTAGTGGCGGTTAAGAATATCCACTACCCCATATCTTCCCGTGGGTGTCGTAAGAGGCGACAGAGGGAGACAGGCAGGAGATGGGCAGCAGCATCTTCCTGATAACAGCAACTGTACGACAAAAAAAACTGCGGTTGCCAACCCGCTCGCCAAGCGTGGCAACTATGGCAATATACCCCCCATGAACAATTACACAAATAGACGGCCCCCAGTCCCCGGCGGCCCCGCTATTCCTGGCTACGGTGGCGACCATGGTAACGGCGGGGCAGGGGGGTGCTAAGAATCTCCGGTGGAGGTTCGGTTGCCACCTACGACGACTCGACCTGGCAACATTTAACGCACGCACACTGAGGACTGACGAGAAGATCCTGGAGCTGGAAGAAGAGATAGACAAGTTGCGCTGGAGTATTATAGGATTATCCGAGGTCCGAAGAGAGGGGGAGGACACGGTGATTCTCGAATCCGGCAACTTGTTCTATCACCGGGAGGGCGACCATCTGTCCCAAGGAGGTGTCGGATTTATCGTCCACAAGTCTCTCGTCAACAACGTTGTACAGATTGAGAGTGTGTCGACGAGGGTCGCGTACCTGATACTCAGAATCACCAAACGGTATTCGCTGAAGGTCATACAGGTTTACGCACCAACGTCGGCACATTCCGATGAGGAGGTGGAGGAAATGTATGAGGATATTTCCAAAGCCATACATTCCTCCAAAACCCACTACACGGTGTTGATGGGAGACTTCAACGCAAAACTAGGCACAAGAGAAAGCGGTGAGCTGAAGTTAGGGAAATTTGGAGTAGGGCAACGGAACCGAAGGGGCCAGCAGCTGGCCGACTTTATGGAGAAAGAGGGACTCTTTATGATGAACTCTTTCTTCCAGAAGCGGCCCCACAGGAAGTGGACCTGGTCGAGCCCCGACGGTTCGACAAAAAATGAGATTGACTTCATTATGACGACCAGACGCCAACTGTTCAGTGATGTCTCAGTGATCGCAAGGGTGAAAACTGGCAGCGATCACCGAATGGTTAGAGGCACACTGAACCTAAACGTTAAGTTGGAGAGGTCTCGTCTAATGAAGTCAACGCTCCGTCCCCCTCGTGCTCTGATCCAAAATCCCGAAAACTTTCAGCTCGAGTTACACAACCGCTTTCAGTGCCTACAAGATTGCAATGCAGTGGACGATATGAATGACAAGCTCGTGGAAACTGTCCATGCGGTCGGAGCTAAGTTCTGCAAGACCCGCCGCAGAAGAACACAAAAACTCTCCGATCACACTCTTAATCTCATGGCTGTTAGACGGGAGATGAGGCTGCAATCGTCAACAGATTTGACAGCATACAGGCAACTGAACAGACAGATCTCCAAATGCATGCGGCGAGACTTACGCAACTTTAATACTGCTCGTATTAAAGAAGCGATCGAGCGGAACCAGGGCTCCAAAGTCTTTGCCAGAGATCTGTCTGCCAGAAAGAGCCAACTGTCAAGGCTGAAGACTGAGTGTGGCAGCATCGTTTCCGGGACACCTGAGATTTTGAGTGAGATTGAGAGGTTCTATGGGCAGCTGTACACATCATCGTTGGAGCCACACGCAAGTGTGAGTAACGATCCAAGAGCAAGTCTTATCCGACACT